ACCTGAATGATTGAGAATCTCCACAGAAGGAGGGAAACAGTCACCGCTGCCCTCCTTCTGCTTTCAGGAGCTGAAGAAGCAGAAGCAACAGAGCAGTTTTCACCACAAGGGGAGGTACAAGGTCAAGCCATGTTGTGGCATTGTCCCAGGGACTTGGTTGCCAGTGCTGTGTTCCTATGAACCTGAGTCATGAGGCACTTGCACTATGTTTGGTTAACCTCTACTACTCCTCGGAGAGGAGTCAGGAGGAGAAGCAAAGGGGCTTATTTTCCCTCTTTACATCTTGACAACTTGGATTTGAGGGAAGGGGGCATCTGTGAAAGAGTGAAAAAAGTGAAGAGAGAGAAAAGGAAAAAAGACTGAGAAGGGGAGGGAGGGAGGGAGGGAGGGAGGGAGGAAGGAAGGAAGGAAGGAAGGAAGGAAGGAAGGAAGGAAGGAAGGAAGGAAGGAAGGAAGGAAGGAAGGAAGGAAGGAAGGAAGGAAGTCAAACAATCTTTTCTCAGCCTTGACCCATGTCATTGTTAAAGGGATCCTGATGTAACTTGGAGATTTTCTGTGGAAGAGGGCAATAAGATTCCTTTGAGGAAGAACGTAGAAAGTGTTTCTTTGGGGCCTTCAGAGCTAAGCATAGACAAGCAATGAGCTGTGTCAATCCTAACTGTGAAAGGACAGGGGGTGGGGGAAAAGAGAGCGAGCAATGCTTGTTCTGAAAAACTGAAGCTTCTGTTTGAAAAACTTCTGTCTATAGTAGACCATCTGCTCTTCTGATGGTGTATCACTTGGCCAGACTTGGGCTGTTGAGAGTTACAACTGTGCAACATTTGTAGGGCTACAGATTATAGATTGACATTTAATTATTAACTCATGCAACACTTGTAATTATTTAAATTTGAAACCCCTGGCTTAGACATTTCTGAGAAAACTCTCTTATCCTAGTAAAACTGAGAGATGTTACCCCAAAACTATAAGGGTGTCCATTCAACTCTACTTCATAACAGATTCTGTAATTATTCCAGAGGGCGACTGGACTGCTGCTGATTAGAGGAAAGCTTGGATCTAACAGTAGCTTAACTAAATCATTCTTGGCATGACAAGAAAGTGAAAAATATAATATGGCCCTAAATTGTAAAACCCATCTTTATTATTTGGTAAAATGATTATATTCTAAATAAGAATAATTTACATAAATAATTGAAAATCAGTCAATACACCATATTGAGGTAAAGAAACAGGATGCTGCATGTCACTCTATAACAGCATGTCCCAACCTTATCAATCTTAAGATGTATGGACTTCAACAACCAGAATTCCCCAGGCACTCTGAATTCTGGGAGTTGGTCTACACATCTTAAGATTGATAAGGTTGAGACACGCTGTTATAGGGTGACATGCAGCATCCTGTTTCTTTATGTCAATTTCAGTCTTCCCAATCTGTTCTGGGAGGTACTCCTTAAAATCCATTCCATTGGGAGACAGATACAATTGGAAGCAATCTACATGCCAACACATACACACATACACACACAGTGTGCGTGTTACAAAACATTTAAAACCAATACACCTTCTTTTAGAATCAATTTGATTCCACTAATCCTGACAAAGTGAAGTTTTTATTTGTTGAAACACCACACTTTAAATTTTTATTTAATCAGTATATATTGGTTAAATGTAACTCTGAAACAGACTTGCAGAATGCAAAGTTTTTTCTAAAACCATTCATACATATCTGCTTCTCAGTTTACTATGCCATATCATCAATCAACCCTAGAAATTTTCTTTAAAATATTATGGTCTCTGAACTTTGTTGTTTTCTTGCAGATGTTTCATTACCCAACTAGGCAATGTCATCAGTGTCTCAGTTACCTAGTTTGATAATGAAACATCTGCAAGAAAATAACCTAGCTCAGAAAGTACCAAAAACCCACAGTTCAACTCTGAGCTACAATATTCCCTTCTGGTGAAACTTTAATATCTCTGCAATCTCATAATCTAATACCCAGTGCTGCATTTTAAAAAGACATGGTCAGCCTGCAAAGGCAGAAAAAAAATGAATTAGTTTTAACAAACTAAATGAAGTATAAAGATTGCTAAGTAAATGAATTGATTAGTTTTAAATAAAAGTTGCTAAGTGAATTTAAATTGCTTGGAGAAAGCATCTGTTAAGAGAGGCATACAACACAACCAGAGAGCAAGTGAGACAAAAGAAAAGAAAAGGCAAAGTAGAAAGAACAGTGGTCAGAATACCTTCATTTACTAAGAAACAGGAATGTAAAGGAGGAGCAGGGCCAGAACCAGAGTGATCAGCTTCAGTACTAGCAGAAACAGCAGGAGCAACTTGAGTAGGAAAGAAGAAATAAAGAGGAAAATGAAGAGAGATATTTCCAAGAAATGAAAACAAAATTGGTTAGTATTATTAAAGAACAGAGTAAAACCAAATCTCTATATTAACTGAAACACTATAAAAGAACCATTTTGAGAAATGTATCCAGGAGAAAAAAAATAAGTCACTTATAAATTAGCTAGTTACTTGAGTGCCCCAGAATGTGATTCGCAGACACCCTCTGCCAGATCTGAATTCAGAGGTTGCAAGGGCATTTGTTCCACAGACTCATCTAAGCTGTGGTTTGTTTAACAATGACTTATTGAGTAAACAATTGTATGGCTTAACTTTAGCCATCCATTAGGATGGGCACATGGAAGTCCCAAGGCATTTTGAGACTTCCAATCTGGTTTGAGTTTTTTTGGGGCGGGGAGGGGAAATAGGTTGCAGAGAACCCTTTTGTCCAAAATGGACAACAGTTGCCTGTTTTCCAACTATTCAAAGGGTTCGCATTAAAAAAAAATAATCAATAGATGCAGAACAAATCCTAGAACAGGTTTAAAACTACTAAAGACAGGCAAATGAAGAGAGTAAAGACCCTTTGACCTCAAAAAGAAAAAGGAAAAAAAACCTATTTCTGTTGATATGTACGCTATGTTTTCTCAAACTCTGCAAAACCATCGTTTCTGGTGCTTCCTTAATTATCCCCCAAACATGTAGCCTGTTTTAACTGACAAATCACACTGGTAAGTTCACACAACCACTCAGCCATCCAAGGCACAGTATGGCTTAGTTAGTGTAATGTGTGAACCTGTGCATACTGACAGAAAATACATCTCACTATGACTAGCGTAGGTCCTTCGCACAGAACTATTATTTTAACAAGCCAGATATTAGTAGTTATTCATATTATGACCACTTCAAAACCAGCACAGTTTTGAATGGTGGCTTTTCAGAATTGGTTGGAGAGCAAGACAAATTAAACATTCTGAAAACTAATCTCTTCAGGACCAGGTAATTCACGTCTTTAAAAACTGATGATTAAAAAAAAATAGCTTTTGCGAAATTAAAACTTCCTTAATTTTATGATGGACATTTTGCGAATTGTGGAGGGGGTTCTTAATTTTTTTTTTTTAAACGAGAAGGCAGTCTAAAGGCAGCCATAAACTTTATAGCTTCACTAATGCTTCATGAATCAAATTATCATATAAAAGGGCAGGCAGACCTTATGGCACACACCATTCTACAACCAGAGGTCAATGTTAAGATTTAGAGGTCGCTCGCTGACACTTCCTTCTTGCAGAGAATTACCATATGCCATGCACAAGCATCTTCAAATTAATCCCTCTCCTTTATTCCATTCCAGAATGACAATAGGCTCAGGCTCCAGAACAGATTACGTATTGTTTCCTGCATTGTATGTTTGGTTTTCATGCAGTGAACTACTTTTGTTACTCTAAGACATCTGCATCAAAATTGCTGCTTGTATGATTTCCACACAAATGCATCACGGTGGCATGCGCAAACCAGCTAAATGCACTTCATGTAAAGAAGGGGAAAAAAAAAAAGAGTCCACCAGGGCTGGTAAGAGGATTCAGACGGATAAATGCAAAGATCTTCCCCAAATATGCACATGAGTTCCAGATTGAAAGTTTACTGTGCAATATTTAAGGTTTGCTTTTTTGTGATCCGAGTGGGGAAAGAAAACAACCTCTCTGGCTGTCACTGTTTATACCAATCAATGCAACTGAAAACAACAACAGCTGGCTTTGTACAGCAGGGCAGCAGCATTGGACTCTCCAGCAACCTGAAAATAATCACTGCTTGAATCGATTACATGCAGGCTCTGTTCACCGTGTCTTAAATGCGGTACAAGTAACAAAGCCAGCAAAATAGTATATATATCACAAAGGCAATACCGAGTAATAGAGAGATGATTAAGAAACATTTAAGTTGAACGTGTCATCTGGGACACTTTTATTTTTTAAAGATACAAACTGAGAGAAATATATGGCAGTGCTATTTTCTTACTATTATTTTTTTACCAAAAATAATGTTAATGTCCTTGATTTTTTTTATTATTATTAGATTGGAGAACAAGCAATTAACCAGAAGCGTAACAGTATAGCTTATGAATTCCCAGTAAGTGATGTTAGAGATGAGATTTTATATATATATGTGCATGTGTGTGTGTATAAAACCACTCTAATAGCTTCATTTAAAATATACCCCCCATTGTGGGCAATTTTACAAAACATGCCACCGAAATTATGTCCCTGTTTTTCAGGTACTTGTATCACATTTACTTTACACTGAATTATTCTATCCACTAAAAGCAAAATAAGTAAAATAAAGCTTTCAATTGAGTCAGCTTTTAAACTGACTGTAGGATAAAACTATTTCAGAAGCCTTAATATATTTCAGGAAGAAAAAAAAAGGAAATAGAAAATCACAGATACCTAGTTTGCTTCCTTTGTACTGTTTAGTATTTCAAATTGAGGAAGCATAATGAAAAAAGAAAGGTAAAAAGAGCCAGCAGAGGTCCCTCTGTCTAGAGCACACGCTATCATACAGATACACAAAGAATGATAAACTTTTTATTAACTAGTTACATGTGCAATTTATCAACTTCCCTGGCATGAAAACACAATTGCCTCTGAGTAGAAGGCAGTTGGAATACAAATTTAACAAATACAAGTAAAGTTGCTGGTTTTTCTATTTATTTGTTTGTTTGTTTGTTAAATTTATTTGCTGCCTATCTCGCCATGGGGCTAATCTAGGCAGCTTACAACAATAAAAATGAAGAAATGAAAAGACATGTAAACATAACAGCAGCAAAGTAATGGAACTGCATTTTTTTATATTCTCTGCATCGGGATTAGTACTAACATCACTTGCAAAATTATTAAATAACCAATTTCTCTTTTTCGGAGAAATAGACACCTGCCAACTGAAAGGGGTTAACTTTGGTTAGAAAAAAAGGGCCTGGTAATGGGGATAAAGATTCTATATTGTATAGGAATGATGAACAAACTCAATCATTTGTCCTTTACTTACTTTATTCGTACTTGTATTGAGAGCTTCCAGAGACAAATCCCTTGTGTGTCCGATCACACTTGGCCAATAAAGAATATTCTATTCTATTCTATTCTATTCTATTCTATTCTATTCTATTCTTGTTGGGGAAAATGAGAGCAATGAAACTGAAAGTTGTGAGGCCCAAAAAAAAGTCAAAGGGAAGAGAACATTTTAAATCTAATATTTTCTCCCTTAAGGTTACTACTGGATTAAAAGGAACTGTAATTACTTCAATAAACATAAAAATGGAACAAATCTTTAGCAAAAATCAGACCAAGGCAGTTGCTATTTTTCCACCAGATGTGTCAAATATCAACTGAATTGCAATCTGTGATAAATTAAGCTGTCACCTGCCAGCTTCACCCCAAAACAAGCTGAATCTACTTCTAAAATGCAACAGAAAATATTTTCAAATTCATACTTCCTATTAGGCATTGAAAGAGAATGATGGATGAATGCAACATAAAGTTGGATAGGAAGTAAAATTCCTGAAAGTGAACATGGTCAGTTTTTTTAAAAAAAAATATTTATGGGTTCAAATATTGTATACAAAAAGAAGACTTCGCTTTCAGGGATATTAGCAATTTCTCTCAATTATCAAAGATTTCAACTCAGTCCCATTGCCAAAAGCAACGTGTTTTCCATTTCAGGTTTTGCAAAAGCGGTCTAAACTCTAATCCAAGTTCAATAAAATGCTTGTATTTCAGAGCTGAAAAGATGAAAACAAGATCTAACTACAGCTGAGTTGTTTACAAATGATCAAAAGCCTGATGGTCATTACCTTGTTTAATCAGTCCTTGTGCTGTTGGACTAGCGATTGGAGTAGAAGTCTTCACTCTTCCGAGGTCAGGAGTTCCTGGTCTAGGTGGCCTACAAATAAAATAGTTGTGGATTTATAACTAAGCACATAAAGGAGACTGTATATACCAGTGGTTCTCAACCTTTTTAATGGCGCGACCCCAACCGGTCGTAAGTCAAGGACTAAACTGGTCGTAAGTCGAGGACTAAACCGGTCGTAAGTCGACGACTAAACCGGTCGTAAGTCGAGGACTACCCAACCGGTCGTAAGTCGAGGACTTTCCCTGCCCGGGAGCGCCACGCATGCATGGTTCTGCCCCCTGCGCCGGCCGAGCCGTAGCTGGCAAGCGGCAGAGATGGAGCAGGCCGACCACCAGCTGGCCCAGCCTGCCGGAAAAGGGGGAAAAAATGGCGGACAAAAAAAATGGCGGACAAAAAAAAATAGCAGACAGCCTTGCTTGGCGACCCCCATGAAATGGTTGATCGACCCCAAATGGGGTCCCGACCCACAGGTTGAGAACCACTGGTATATACTTTCATATTTGAGTCGGGTATCTTAAAAAGACATCTTAGAAACTTCCACCTTACCTACACTGATCTGCAGTACTTCCCCCACCCTTTTGATCTTCTATCCCATTTGTTTTCTCCAAATCTTCATTTGTTCTGGAAAATACTAACTCTCTTTCAGAATTTCTTTTGCCCTTCCCTGTGACTCAGGCAGATGAAGAATCTTGCCGTGGTTCTTATGAAGGCTCTCGTTAATGACTATTTAACATTAGAGTGGCCTTTGGGTGCAGGGGACTTCCGGTTGTGTGACTTTAACATCTTTAATTCTCGATGGGGTTGCACTAGCCCAGACAAACCCGGTGCACAATCTAGGGGTTCTCCTGGACTCATGACTCCTGCTCCACGAGCAGCTGGCAATTGTGGCTAGGAGAGCATAACTACATACTGTGTGCCAATTGCTCCTCTTCCTGGATTGGGAGTCCCTGTGCTCAGTCATTCCTGGTCATCTCATGCCTGGACTACTGCAAAGTGCTCTACATTGGGCTACCCTTGAAGAGTATCCAGAAGGTTCAGCTGGTGCAGAATGCAGCAACATGGGCAGTTCTTGCAGCCCCTAAGAAGCTGCCACTTTACTCCTGGATTCAATTCAAGGTATTATCAAGGGTGTTATAACTTTTACAGTCCTTCAGGCTATCTGAGGAACCAGCTCAGCCCGATGGGACTAGCTCACCCCACCCACACTGGCAGAAGGGGCCTGCTGAGGACTCTGTCAGCCAAGGAATTTTGCCAGGCAGGGCCAAGAAGTGGAAGCAGAATGCAGAACTCCAGAGTGCTGGAAAGCAGCAGCTTTGAGAGCAAGACAAAGCACTACAAAGAACACCTGAGAGCAGCAAGCCGATGGTACAGACAAGTGGCTTTCAACAGGGTTGGCTGGGAAGGGCAGGATGAAATTGTATGAATAAGATTAAAGATGAAATATAGTACAAGATAGGGCAGTGGTGGCGAACCTATGGCACAGGTGCCAGAGGCGGCACTCGGAGCCCTCTCTGTGGGCACACATGCCGTTGCCCCAGACTTGCCTCCCCCGCGACCCCCTCACCAGCAGCCCCCCTGGAGGAGAGTCGCCCCTGAGCATGGCCCACACGGAGCAGTGCAGCCAAGGACATGGCAGCCAGATAGAGTAGACAAGACTCTGCCCTCACGTCCCATTGTGCACAGTTGATGCTGCGGGGCGCGGGCAGAAGGTGTGGCCGCCATGGCGCTGCTGGGCTATCTGTGGCGGGCCCGGGAGCTGGTGAGTGGCCCTATGGGCAGGCGGGGTGGGGGCGGAATGGGGGCAGGGCAGGGGGCAGAGTGGGGCAGGGCCAGTTTTTGGGCACTCGGTCTCTAAAAGGTTCGCCATCACTGAGATAGGGCATACAAGATAAGACAATAGCGTAATATAAAATATAGAGTAAGATAGGAAACGAATTAACAAATAAGACATTAAATAAATAAGACTTACCTGAACAAGAGTCTTAGATCTCCGAATTTACCATTATTTTGGGTAAAGTTTTTTTGCAATAAATACCCCCCCCCCAGTGGAAATTGCTATCCCTTCCTGCCCAAGTCTGGTATCACTTAAATCCAAACTTTAATTGCTAGTTCTGTATTCATATCTTTGTTTCAATTCAACAAATAATTTAACAAAATTAAACAAATATGACTATGGGATTATGATCTCCGGCAAATACAAATATGTACAATGTAACCTCAATTTAGTGGACAGATCCATGAGAGGGAGGCGTCCATTACTCCCAATTGTTCAACCAGACACCCACAGCAATATCATGACACAAATGATGCCATCATGGCATGACTATACAAATAAATTATATGGCAATATTGGCATTATTCTACACTCATTCCTGCAGAAGATGGGAATTTTGTCCGTTGCATTATGGACTGCTAAATCAAGGCTGCAATGTCGTATGGAATTCTGGGAGAAGGGAGAGGAAACAAGAGATGCAAAACAAGTAAATGAAGTTGTTAAAGGTACCTGGCTGGCCCCTTTTTCATATGCTCTCCAATAAAAGTTGCATTGGTCATGCTCATCAAGGTGTTTGCCAGGGAGATGATGGAGAGGAGGTGCTGAGTCGTTACCGCACGTGAAATGCCGTACGTACCCCTGATGTGTCGCCCTGTGAGAAATTCTATGTCCGTATCACTAGAGGGTACCTTGTCTATAGGCTCATGATACCCGGGGAGCATCAAAGACATGTGGCCGCCTCTTGAAAGCAAGCCAAAAGAGACAGAACGGTGAGGCCGCAACATCCCCAGACGCTCACTGCAAAGTTCATCTAGAACATTGTTCAAGCCCCAAGCGTGAAGGCATGACATAAACAGCTTGGCTGTGTCCATGGTTAGGTTATATTCTAAGAGAGTTAACGGCTTTGATTTGCTAGACCGATATTCGGGGTCACCGTCCTCTCTTCTTTGTCTGGCTTCCTCATCCTCGTCATCGTCATCAAAAAGACGTTCTTTTATGTTTTCTTTGATTGTTTCTTTGACAGTTTCTTTGACCTGCTGAAGCAAAACTGCGGCTCGTTTGCCAGCCAGGAAGGGACTTCCTTTGTCAGAGCTGCCAGATGCTTTCTGTAAATTCTCAGGGGAAATAAGGGCTGTGTTAGGCCTGGAGGCTTCCTCAGTTAGTAACTGAATAATCAGAGCTTCCACATCAAAGAAGAGAATATGGACATCTGGGTCTGTTAAGTTAGTCTTCAGGGCTTGAACCATCAGAGAGTTGTGCGAATATTTTGGCAAGTTTCCCTTTAACAAAACACAAAAGACAATTATCTCTGGTATGCTTTTCTGTTTACGGGTTTGTACATTATACTGTACAGTGTAAATATCTTGGACAGGAACGCCCAATACAGTTGCCATACGCTAAATAAATAAATAACCCCATACAGTTGTAATGTTTGAAAAACGCAAAATTAATATTATGAACCTATTTTAAACATAGGTATCACTAAGCGGTCAATACTGAGAATGTTTTGAAACAGTATATGTGTGAGTGTGTGTGTGTGTGTATGTATGTATGTATGCAGGGCTTTGTCATAGAACGCCCAGAACGGAGTTCCGGCACCTTTTTTGGATGGAACCTTGTAGAGTAGGCAAGGCGGGTTGTATGACATGTGTGAGTTCTGGCACCTTTTTTTTTTTTTTTTACAAAAAAAGCACTGTATGTATGTATGTATGTATTTTTAAAACAAGTCTTGGACATTACTTTCTTCATGCTTTTTAAAAAATATATAAGAACTAGAATGCCAGTTTTGTTAGCTTATAAAGTAATAATAAATATTCTACTGAAAATAAAGCATCCTGCAGATCTTTATCTATTTTTTGTGCTCTCTTAAGTTTGGTTGTTTGCTTGCAGATGTCTCATTACAGGCTAGATAATATCATTAGCGCTAGTGAATGTGGGGTTTGCTGCCTGTTTATATACAATAGCTTGCCCTACCAATGTTGTTGGGGGTGTGATCTGGTCCTGCCTTAGGTGCAAAGCCAGTTGGGTGAGTTTGGACTAGTCACTCTTTCTCAGCCCTAAAAAAGAAGCAAGGACAAACCACTTCTAAAATCTTGCAAAGAAAAGGGCAGGGAATTATCAGGAGTTAGAACTGATGAAAAAAAAAATCACCTAACTCAGTGATGGCGAATCTTTTAGAGACCGAGTGCCCAAACTGCAACCCAAAACCCACTTATGCATCGTCAAGTGCCGGGTGGGTGTGGCCCATTGGCTGGGCGTGGCCCATTGGGTGGGCGTGGCTGCGGTGGTAACGGCAGACAGGGTGGGACTAAAAAGTTCAATCAATCAATTCCAATTTTGCAAGATCTTTTTTGACTGATTGAACCTTTCTTTTTTTTTTGCACACGGCGGCGGAGGCCTAAAGCGAAAAGGTTTTCTAAAACCCAGCTGAAGGCCTAGGACTGGGGTGACGGTGCACGTGCCCACAGAGAGGGCTCTGAGTGCCGCCTCTGGCACCCGTGCCATAGGTTCGCCACTACGGACCTAACTGAAAGATCAGATGTCCCAAAGGTTTTTTTTTTCAAAAGACAGCTGGACTTTCTTTGTTTTTTTGGTTTTTTTTGTTTGAAAACACTTTGCTTCTCATCCAAGAAGCTTCTTCGGTTCTGACTGAATGGTGGAGAATGGAAGGATTTATATTGGAATGTAAATATAAATCCTTCCATTCTCTGCCATTCAGTCAGAACTGAAGAAGCTTCTTGGATGAGAAGCGAAACGTCTTCAAGCAAAAAAACAAAGAAAGTTTGAAAAAAAAATCTTTGTGACAACCATGACTTGAATGACTGGGAAATCTGAAAGATCAGATTTCTTTTCCTCAAATAATTATCTATGTATTGGGCTGGGGTTGGGTATCTTACATTCTGTAAGAATAGAAGACACTACTGACAACTATAATGTATAATAACTTTGTACTTTCAAGGCATCCTTTGAAAATTAGCACCTACAATCAGGAAAGGTAACAAAAAGTGACTACTGAAAACACTTTTTACCAGCTCAGTTATTCTCCTGGGCCCGTGTCTGGGGAAATAATCAGGTCTTCAAGGCTTTCCAAAAGATGGACATGTTGAAAATAACAGCCAGCCAAAGCTAGGTGGTAAGGTGTTCACAGAAAAGGCATACTTTCTGGATTGTGGCAGATGACAATCCTGATTGACAGGACTCGGAAGACGCCCTCATGACCAAATTAATCAGGAGAGTGAAAACAATGGGAATAAGGCTGTTCCTTGAAAATTTGGGCCCACGCTATCCAGAACTTTATAAATATTAACCAGAACTTTGAATCGCACCTGAGAGCCAGTAACAGGGGCATAATACTACACATCCATACTTGTCCATTCCACTGCATTGTGGACTAACTGAAAGTCCAGATGTTCTTCAGAGGCAAGTATCATATAGAGAGTATTGCAGTAATCCACTTGGGATGTGACTGAACCATGAACAACTATGTGTAATGTCTTCTGATCCAGGAAGGGACATAATTGGTACAACCTCCAGTCATAGCATCCCCTTATTCTTCTTTCAGGAGCTATGCATCAAGAAGAACCTTCAAAACTGTGCACCCATTCTGTCTGGAATAATGCAACCCCATCCAGCATGAAGAGTGGAAAAATCATCAAATCCAGGATGCCCTAATACTCAAAGCCAGTCCACCTGCCTAGGGTTGAGTTGAAGCCTGTTCATTCTTATCTAGCTTACCATAGCCTCCAGGCACTGAGATAAAAAATCAATTTTAGTGCTAATATTTGTTATTTTAATGTTGTGTTTGGTTGTTTTAATAGTAAGCCACCCAGAATTCAAATCTTCAGACATAGATAGCTGGGATCCACTTCCCTGGTGGGATGCACACCTTCCTACCATGTCTGGATTTTCTCAGTCTGTTACAGAATATTTGGAATCACTCCAGAGCAGAACTGAGGATGCCTCTAACACCCCACCTCCAATTCCCTATGAAAGCAGCTTCAACCAATGAAACCTTTATGGAAAATTGAAATAACTGAATTAAAATGCATAAAAACATAAAAGAAAAGAAAATAAAATTAAAAATGAAAGCCATTTATAGTATATAGGATTTTACATCCTCAATGGTGATTTACACAAGTAATTTCTTAAGCATCTATAATATTAAATATTGCACCCCACTTGAATTCGGCTTCCTTTTAGAATTTTACATTATTAGAAAGGGATAAGAAGTTGATTTTTGGCTTTATTCTGACATTTCAGTTTTTCAGTTTTAAGCTTCTGGGGGAAAAGATCCGAGGATGTGTAATAGAAAAATAGTAATGTTACGGCTTACTAGCAATCCTGTTTCCCAGCTTTACACAGGTGGATTTCATTGATTTTAAACCTGGCTAAAATCTATATACAGTAACCAGGTGTGTGGAGGGGTTTGCAAATAAAAAATCTATATAAAATGTCTAAAATCTCTAAAACTATGAATCTAACAAAAAGTAGATCTCTAATGCCCTCTACTGTCTTGCTGTTAAAAAGCAAAGTAACTCTTTGTTCTGAAGAACACGGAACTTCTAATTAATTATACTTGATATCTGATGATCTCAGTTCCTAAAGCCTTCTGCCAAAGTAATAATCAAAACACCATCATATTATGCTATACAAATCTGAAGTACTTGTTCACTGAAATTTATATAATGAGGAACTGCAGATTGCTTGATAACTACAGTTATACCATAGATAACTACATATCTATGGTATGGTAATCTATAATGAATCATTGTTATCCAGTGAGAATTGATCAAAACAGAATTCTGAGGCCGTTAAATATAGTGAAACGTCTCCTTGAGAAAGCCTATGTATGGGATGTTCTCAAGCTTTGCTTGAAAGCCTTTTTCACAACCTTAAGAGTCACAAAGCAGACACAGAAGCTGAGAATGCACTCTGTTCTAAATTCAGCATGACAGCAGAATCATTGATCACATGCTGAATTTCAGCTCAGTTTTTTAAATGAAGAGTCTGCTACATTCTCAGTCATCCAGGTCATGGTTATCTCCAAGGTGCTTTTTCAAAAGGCAACTGGGACTGTTTTTTTTCCTTGAGGAAGACATTTCGCTTCTCCACCAAGAAGCTTCATCGGTTCCGATCAAGCTACTTGGATGAAAAGTAAAACGTCTTCCTCCAGGAAAGAAGAGTCCGATTGCCTTTTGAAAAAGCACCTTTGAGACACCTTCAGTTTAATCCTACTAAGACCCAATGGCTATGGTTGTTAGGGCTCCCTAGATTTGGGGAGATTCCAACTTGGATTTTATTTATTTATTTATTTCTTGTATTTCTACCCCGCCCTTCTCCCTGCGGACTCAGGGCGGCTTACAGCCATTTAAAACAAATACTTGAATACAAAAATACAAAATTTAAAATATTAATTAAAATGAAATATTATTCTAAGGCCGAAAGTTCGAAAAAAAAAAAATTAAAACCAAATTAAAATAACCCTTAGGCCAGTCCTGCTAACTTAAATAGCCATGTCTTGAGGGCGCGGTGGAAGGAGGGGAGATTGGATGGGTTGCACTTCCCCCCTCAAGGAGGTGTACAATCTGGGGGATTTCTTGGATTGGCAGCTCCTGCTTGATGAGCAGGTGGTATCTATGTCCAAGAATGCTTTTGCACAGCTTCATCTGATGTTCCGGGGAGGTGTGTGTGTGCCCTTTTCTGAATTGTGAGACCTCTCAGATTGTTATTCATCCTCTAGTTGCATCACAGTTCAACCTACTATCATGCAGTCTATATAGGGCTGACCTTGAACACCTCTCAGAAGTTTCAGCTGGTCCAGAATGCAGCAGTGTGGACAATGATGAGTGTGTTTTTGTTAATCTATGTGACAGCTCTGTTCCAGAAGGTGTATGCTTCCAGGTGTGATTCAGGGTGCTACTTATGACCTATAAAGGCCTATATGGCATAGGCCAGGCCATACCATATCATGGTTATTTGAGGAACCATAATGACTATCCAGCCAATATGAACTGACAGGGTTGGTATGCTTGAGGTCCCTTCAATTAAAGAGAGTCATATTTTGAGATTCAGAAGGTTAAACTGCTTAGTGCCTGTCTTCTGAAATGAAGTTCCCCACTGCAATCTGGGTAGTTTCCACCCTGATAATGCTCTGGAGGGCCTTGAAGATTTGGCTGTTATTACAAGCCCTGGATTAGGGTGTTTGTAAAAAACCTTCATGAGTTTTAATGTTGGTTGGAATCACCATCTTGTGGTGGTTTTTTTGTTACAGTGTGGGCCACTCAGTGTAATTTAGAACCAGACAGTCCAAATTGAACAAATTAACTGAATTAACAGAACCTCTCATGTGAAAAACAAAATCTGCTGAAAGTAGCCTACTGCTTATACAGAAGTCTAACAATACCAAAATGGAAAATCTGAAAGGAAAAGGTATTCTCAGTGATATTGAGACTGCTTAAAGATTTCTACTGGAACACAAAAGATACCCTTTACTGCATCCAAAGAAAGGAAGGATCAACTGCAATGGAATAATTACAATTTAATTCAATATTTTGATAAGAAGCTTAGGTCAAACCAACTGCTGAACCAAGTCAATTATTTAAGATGCTAGTAATTTAATGATGCTCTTAAGTTTGAGTAATGCTTAATACCCACTGCTGCAACACAGTCTCAGCCCCTACAGGCAAAGCAATTAAATATTTGTAAAGGAGCAAAATGGTGTTATGTCTTCAGAATCAAGAAGACAGCTCCTGGAGAAAACTCTGAATATGATGAACTCCAGACCAAATTTCAACAAATGTCCTTTTTCTTCTGCTGTTCAATCTGAGGATATTGCCCTTCTTCCTTATCCAATAGCCCCAATTCTGAGAATAAACCACCACAGACATGGAGGCCCTCAATGACACAGCAGACTGAAACTTCAGAAAAGGCCAGTCTCTTTAAACCGAAGGAAGGACAAACTAGGTTATGTAAGATTTTTTTATATACAATGTGTCATTAAACTTTGGAATTTGCTACTAAGACATGTAGTGAGGGATACTAGCTTGGCTGGCTTCAAAAAAAGACCAATTCATTGGAAGTCATTGGGGATCAATCACTCTTAGTCTTCTTGGCAGTGTGATTGCCTCCAAAAGCCATCTTCTGGGAGACAAGTTGGCTTCCTTGTGCAGTTGATTGGCCACTGTAAAACAGAGTGTTGGACTAGATGGCCAACGGCCCAATCCAGCAGGGCATTGCTTATGCTTATGTTTTCACCTGTCATCTTTCACAGTGAGCTCTCCATGGTACTGACAGTGCCTTGTTCTGCCAGAGGCCAAGCCTTATTTATGATTCTTTCCACTCCCTTAAAACCATCTGATTTATAGCCAGCTTCTTCAGGTTCTTTAGGCAGGCTGGGACAGCCAGAAGCTGGACTCTTGAAAGCCAGAGGTTTGAAACAAGTGAAATATAAAAGAAATAATGCATACTGCTATGTAGTTCTATTGTCTGGACAACTGAAAGACTAGCAAAATAAATAAAGGGTGTTTTTCTCTAAAGTGTATTTATATCTCAAAGTCTATTTATATTTTCTTGCACTCATTAACTTATTTTTTAAATTGCAAACCTCGACAGGATTGAGTTCATAAAACAATTTACTAATCTAAATTCATCAGACAGCAGGTAAATTCTGACCTATGGAGTGCGAAGGGACAATAGACAGTAAAATATAAGTAACAGGAAAAGGGACATGTGGATTTATTTTGGATTCTTTATCATACTTCTTATGTACCTTTTTTAAAACTAGTAACTTCATTTTGAAGAGGAAATGTTAATGGCAACATAATACATTAACTCAGAATTTTAAATTTCATCCGCTATATTTCTAAATTTCCCACATTGTTCTGATTTTAGCAAAATATTAAAAGCTAGATATAAAGCTCTGCAAAGTTCAGTTTTGTCCAAATATGTTTACACACAGATTTGTTTAAGACGAACAGAGTTGCAGTTTCTTCCTGACAATCTATAGCTTGTAATCTATAGCCAAAATTTAAAACCGTTAAATGGATCTATTTCTTCCCAAGATGGCTTCTGTTCAACCAGCCTGCCTTCACGTAGTGGTAATTCCTTTCTAAATTTCAGAAGACCTCCCTGAATGTGACATGATTTTGCTCTCATAAGCCACAAGACATAAGACCTCTCTAGTGAAACGAGAAAAGTTTTTGCCTTTGAAATATCTAGAAAGGAAACTCCAAAGAAAAGGAGCAAGAAAAGCAGGGGGCTACACTGATTACATTTTTCTAAATCTAGAAAAACAAGTTTAAGTTAGCTAAGCATGGTGCAAAATTTATTTCTTTAAAGTGTGTGTTTTGAATGCCAGAGATTAGTCTGAGTTCTAATCTGACTTAGGCATATGTTGGGCCAGATAGTCTCACTAGCCCTAGAAAGAAAACAATGGCAAGCTACTTCAGAAAATGTTGCCAAGAAAACTACATGTATTTTGTGACTTGAGGGTATGCAGGAACACAAATGTATGAGTGTGGAAATACACAGAGTGTATGTTTAAATCTACTTGATTGTGTTTGGTAATTATAGTCTATAAAGGGATTTAAAATGATTTCAGACCATAGAAAATGGAACCTGATTGTAAAAAAATATAATCCCTGGAATTCTAGGTCAAAGAGCAAAGCTCTAGAAATGGAAAATTGTCTGTGTTGGACTAAAGGGGAAAAGAAGGATGAATTTTTCACCTCCTCACTTTGCAACTTTCACCAAAACTGTCCTCTCACTAGCACACAGAAGAGGCATTTCTACACTGTATTGAGATGCAACCAGCAATTACTTAAAAGAATAATTTAAGACCTTACTTTATCAGAGGAATCGGATGCCAACAGATTCGTAGCAAGTGTCTGAAGTTTCTGATGGGCCACATTTTTTAGTGCAGCGAGGCTACGTCTGGTCATGGCCTGCTTTAGGTTGACAGCTGGATGGCTGAGAGAATCAACTGCAGTCGGTACAGCTTCATCACAAGCATTCAGGATCTCAACAGCTGTTATTCCCATTACACATCGGTCAAGTGCACCTGAAGAAAAATATTAAAAAGATAAAAAACAGTTTAGCTGTGAGCAGACTCCACTGCGAACTGTCATGGTTCTGATAGATGAGACTAGTAAAAACAGAGCTCCAAGGCAAGAGGTTTCCTTAAAGAACATATTTATTGGCTACAATGTATCAGCATGGTCAAAAGTGAAACCAAGACTGGAGTTCCCTCCCAAAGGTTATAATGTTACAAAGTTGAACTTCCCACCCCAGCACTATGTCATTAATCACATTCCCCAATAAACTACTTTGGTGGGCTTTCTAATGGAAAGCTTAGCCCGCCCAAACCCAGGCAGTAATGACCTTGGTTCCCACAGGACAATTTATTGTTTAGTCTAACCTTACAATCACTCATCCCCCCCCCCGCTCATTACTGTGGCAACCAAAAACTAAGCGGAAATGGCTTCAGCCAAAATCATTGCAGCGTTGACACATACTTTACAATGTGAGCAAAACAACTTCCTTATGTCCAGAAACAATTTGCTTTAAAGAACTCCATTCAACAAAAGCATTCAAAGGAAGTGGGTTTATAGATGGAAGACTGGAATTTATTTTCTTGGTGAATTCTAACATTTCATTAATTCTATTTATAAGGCCACCCATCTTGCATAAGCAACTGTGGTAGGCAGCCACCAAAATAAAAACAATTAAAAAAAACACAAATTAACAAGCAAGAAAAAAATCTATAGAGGTTGTTGAGTGTAAACAATCAACAAAAACCTCTCAGTGTGTCTTTAACTTCCTGATTCTCAACCAATCTGATTTAGGAGGTCATGGGTGTTTCTGAAGATAGCCACTGTGACAGAAAAGGCATGCTCCTGTAAGTTCTGTAAGGAGATTTCATGGTCTCCTAGTTTCTAACCTAGCACCTTAACCACTCAACAGGCTTCTATAATTCTTCAGTGAATACAGGCAGTCCTTGGTTAATGATCATAATTGGGACCAAAATTTCTGCTGTTAAGTCACAATTGTGGATCATTAAGTTGGTGAGGGTGCCTGAGTGTGTGTGGATGGCCAGTGAGGCACAGCAGGAATTCAGAGGGAAGAATGTGCTGAAAGTACACAGGTGGCTGGCAAATTGTGGCACAAGCACTATGGGCTGGGTGAGAGTGCGCAAGAGTGCATTGGTGACCAGTGAGGAGTGGGGGACCTGGGGGTGGCTACTGTTGAGTAGGAGTGGGGATGTGACGGCAGAAGCAATCCTAGAGCCACAGTGTGGTAAAAAGCCCCAGAGCTGCAGCGTCTCCTCACCCAAGGCCAGAACGGTGAGCTTAATTTAGAAAATTATGCAGATCAGCTGGAGGCGGGGGGCAGAGGGAGGTCATAATTGGCTTGAAATTCATGTGCCACAGTCATAAGACCTGTTGCAACTCCATTTTTTTCAGCAAGCTCCTAACTTTGAATGGTCAATGAACAAGTCGACATTAAGCGAGGCCTATCTGCATTGTTTAAAAGAAAAACACTATTAAAGTTTAGGAAGAAATTTCTTGCCTTGTTAGATTTAGCAAAGCAAAGCAAGAAATATGTGTTTTAAGACGAATGAAGAAAAAATACTTCTGAATTCTTCCTCTTATCTTTTATTAGAAAAGCACAGGTAGTTTGCAGGGGTATTTCTGAAGAGAGACTTTTTTTTGAAAAAAATAATATAGAAATGATACTCCTTTTTAAATATAACATTGAACTGTAGTATTGAATCATTCTCTCCACAGCCCATTCGGAACCAATCCCTTGTCAAGTTCTTTGCACATAGATAACTTACCAGTATCCATTTGCCATACATATACAGACCCATCTGTACAACCAACAACGAGGTAGTCATCTGAAGGTCTCCATTTTATGTTTTGAATTGGAAAGAGATGCCGGGAGGCTAACATGATGCACTTCTTTTCCCGTAAACTTAGAAGTCCCACTGAGTGATCACTGGCAACAGAACACACGCAATGCTGCACTCTCGACTGAAAATGAGAAAATAGTGTCTTCAATCATATTTTTCTTAGTGGTAAATCTTTTATGTCCTTGAAATAAATTTTTGCTCCTTATGGAGTAAATTATGGCAAATTGTGTGGCGAGCAAACAAGGAGGTTAACAGCTTGAATGCTACCTACCACACTACGAACATTTTTAAAACACATTTTTTATTGGAGAAGTTTTTCAACAGAAATAAAAACAGTAATAACTTTGAATTAAAGAAGAATAAAGAGAAGTAATAATAAAGTGAAAAGGAAATATGGAAAATGGAAAACAGAGGGGAGGGGAGGAAGGAGAAGAGAAGCAATTTTAAAGAAACAGCTTCTAGTATTCTTGAGAACAGTTATAGATACATTTATATTCTGCATTTTCTCTCTAAGGTTATATCATACTTTCCATCAATTACCCTTTCTAATCTTAAAACCCATAAATCACAAAATTACCACAGTATGAACACTTAACCCTAAATCACCTCACTTTAAGTATAACATTTATCCCCTACATCAGATGTGTTTTGCACTATTTAAGCTGCTAAAACAAAAACAGCAACTTGGACCGCTGCAGCTCAAATACAACCCTAGATATGGCTGTGGCCTACATCCTAGATCCCAGAATACTGAAAAAAAGATTTTTGGTCTGTCAAGCTCAAGACAATCTTTTCTGAGGGTTTCAGATAAAGTTTCTTCCAGAAAAAATTAAAATGGAATGGACGTAACTTGCAACCTTCTTTATTCAACGCTATAGCTTATGCATTTGCTTATGATTCAGAAAGTCCCCAGATCCTTCCTTAGAATTCCATCTCTCTAGAGCGGAGGTACAATGTATGCATGCAAGCAGAGGCTGAACGCACACACGCTGTCAGCTCAGCAGTGTTGAAAGACTGACCATGATATCAATATCTAGGTAAGACTTTGAAATTAAAAAGATCAGTCAACAAGATAGAATGTTCTCAGTGCACAAATCAAGGAAAGGCATTTATTTACTTCTCTTTTTAAGGCAATACAGCCAATACTATTATTTCTTACAATATTAAACAATAGTTACATTGATATGCAAGCCAGACAAGCATTCGTCAGTGATTTACTACAAAATATGGGGATTTTCTTAATTGTCGCATATGTGCCATTGGCACTTGGCCTTCTAAGGATACATATTATAAACTGTCACAGTAATGATAGAACAGTGATGGCGAACCTTTTAGAGACTGAGTGCCCAAACCCTAACCCAAAACCCACTTATTTATCGCAAAGTGCCAGGGCTGCATCAGCATTGTGGTGCCCTCGGGGGGGGGCAGGAAAGCACCTCTGGGTGCCGCCTCTGGCACGCAAAAACTGGGGGCGCAAAAATGGGCCACCGTGCTGCAAGGCACAAAAACGGCCGCCGCCGCACTGCGGGATGCAAATACAAGGTGCTGCACCATGCAAGAACAGGGCAGGGCTAGTGACTATCACGCAGGCACTTGCCCCGCCCCATTTGCAGCGCGTGCATGCTCACGGTCCCGTGCCCGCATGCACGTATGCACACATGTAAAATGCTTCCCCCTCCCTTTTCTTCCAGTCCACCAATCAACAATGGTTGGTGACCTCTGCTCTACTACCTCTACTCAAGCTTGCTAGTCGGTCGCTTCGCCTCCTTTGTGCTGGGCGGGGCTCCTGCTCTGGGCAGCGGTGGCGGCCTGATAGA